TACTACTACTACTACTGCTACTGCTACTGCTACTGCTACTGCTACTGCTACTGCTAAGGTTCTTGGCTCACAGCGGAGCGATGAAATTGAAATCTGAGACTCCGCTTTCCGAACGTAAGCTCGCTAGCAGCTCTGGAGAACCCCAATCGAACACGGCTGTAGGCTGCAGGATGGCTTGCATAGTCGCTAAACTTGTGCTGCGCCTCGCAGCTTTCAGCCTTGTGGGTAGCCAACACCGGCCTTCTGCGGGACATGCAGGGCACTGGTCTCAGCCGCACCAGCATGCTGATTCGAGCTGCTTGCACCGAATACTGTTACTTCAGCATAGACCATGTGCATGTGTTCAATCGAACTTCAGCTTGTTGAGCAGTGCCAATGCCTTAGCTGTGCCCTCGGCCGGTCAGCACCTTTGTCAGGGCTCAGACCCCGCCTGTTCGGTAATTCTTCGACTGCTGTCAGCAGGGGCACCATCATGGCACCGCGATCCAACAAAGGATCTGTCTCCAGAACACCGCCACCGCGGACGGTCCCAAAGGCGAAGGCAAAAGGCCGATCTACGCCAATGGCGACTGCAGCTTCGGACTCCGACTTGTCTGATCTCTTCCGCTCCAGTGACGAGGATATGCCTACAGGACGCGGCGGACCAGTTGGATCTGGATCACACTCGGGCAGTACCACGGGAACAATCACACCGGCTCCAGCGCTTCCCAAGGCCAAGGTATCTGCACCTACAGGTCCACCCCCACCGGTGCCAGTTCACAGCCCGGGACCTGCTCCAGGAACACCAGCTGCAGCTTTTGGTGCTTTTAGATCGGGCCCAGGGACAGAGGACGCACGCCGTGGCCCAGCTGCAGGACCTTCGACAACTACCCCGACGACCTCTGGCGCAGCGACCACCACGCCACACTATCCGGGTGCCCTCGTTGTCAGTGTGCCACATAGTTTGTCATTCTCTGTTGAGATTGTCGTCCGAACGGCACCAGCCGAACGCCTGTAAGACCGGCAGCCATCGGCGAGGACACGAAAATCAGTCATCAGTGTCTGCTTGCCTCTGCCACAACGGCCACCCTCTGCCTAAGCCCCACTGGTACCCTAAGTGGACCCCGCCCCAGCCCTGCTGCAGTCCCACTCCCGTGACTAGACTTAACAGGCCCTCTCTACATCCTTTGACTTCAGGTCTCATGATGGACAGCTCGGCTGCCTCCTCCTGGGAGGTCGGCCGGCTCTCGGCAGGAATTCCGCGCATCATACTTGCATCTTGTCGACAGCTGCCTGTCACGCAGGCCTGCAGCAGGGACCCCTCCACGAATAAGGAGCAGGCCTCCCGACCACAATGCGCTGCCCAGTGTATGTACTCTGCTCGTCGCACAGGCTGGCCGGCTCGCGGTCGCCACAGCCCCAGCCGACCACTCTGGCCGATACAGCTGACTCACTGCACGGCGGCCTGTCTGTCAGGTCGCGGACGTCTCTACTCCACCGCCCGCCGCTGTTTCCAGCTGGCCCCAGTTCTCTCCTGTTCCACGGCACTTTTTACCAATGCCTGCATGCCTTCAGGTCCGACCCTGATTTCGACGCCAAACATGTGGTCCGAACCTTGGCAGCTCTCGCGAGTAGCAGCCGCTTACACGCAGTGCCCCACCTCCTGGCAACAGTGTGCCGGTTTTGCATGTGATCACTTCCTGATGCGACAGGCCCAAGGACATTCTCTTAGGTGCAAACCACTCGGATACCACCATCCTTCATCTCACTTCCGTGGATCCCCCCAGTACCTAATGCTGACTGCACCGTCTCAGGCCTACCAGGCGATGCGGATTGAGTTCTCCAAGAATAGGCTAAGGAGGGTCAACATGGGTTGGGATGCTCGCCAATGTCGGTGGCGATATAAGCCAGGCCAAAAGGAACGACGTGCAGCCCGGGAAGCACGGGAGCGTCGGGAGCAGGGGACGGCCAGCTCGAGCTCTGGTGTGGCACCACCGTTGACCCTCTACTCGCAGAGGAGACCACGGGCCACCCGCATCTCGATCAGACAGGGGGCTGAAACCGCGGAGGCGCCTACGCCTCGACTACGCCCCAAGCCGAAGAAGATGCCCCGAGTCCGTGCTCCCTCGCCGGCCGAAGCAGACAGCCAACTCAACTCCTCGAGTACGGTACCGGCAATCGGCCTTGGACATACCATGGGACGGGGGAACTCTATCTGGTTCGAGGACAATGTGGTGACCGAACCCATCCCGGCTCCTGCCACCCCACCGCCTCTGGCTGAGAATGTGCACAGAGCGGCCAAACTCAGAAGATGGCGACGAGCCCGGCACTCGCGCTGGCCGCGATGGTTCCATGTGGCGGCTGCCCGCACACCTGCCACGGGCAAACGCCGTCGCTGGCGAGCCTGCTCAATGGCGTTGATGCTGAAGAGGCCCTGGTCTGCCCACTGGAGGGCCATCTACCAGGATTGCCATCGACTGTGGCACAACTGGGAGCAGGGACAGTCACTCACGGTACAGGACTACTGGTGGCTCTCGAATGCCTATCGGCTGGTATACCCTAGGACGATGTGGAGGCGGATCCAGCACCATCTTCTTCAGCTTACGCCCTTTGCAAACTGCCGCCGCATTTGCTCCCTGGTGATCGGACACCGCAGAACCGACTATAGACACTCGCGACCGGTAGATACCGGTGCCGGACCCTCCTGCGGCCAGCCAAATTACTTGTCTCCGTGTCACTGCCTTTGCCTGGGTTGCTCCAGTCAGTCTTTTAGAGCTACCGGGTTGTTCGACGTGCACTCAGGATCCAGCAAACGAATTGGAAGCAGGGCGTCAGCATCTTGCCGGCGTTTGCACACTTACCACTGCGACAGGCAGGATCCGCTGCCCAGGCCCACTTTTCAAAAGTTAAATCCTGGCACCTTTACAGGTCTGCTTACGCCATTGGCAAGAGGCCGCCGGCCTGGCACCCCTAGTGTCGTGAGACATGTTGGCTCATCCCGCATTTGTCATGACCTGCAGGGCTGGCCACACGTACTCCTTCAACAGCCCGCGGACTCAAACTGCTTTATCTGTCGACGAGTCCCAGGCCGTAAGCCCCCCCGGAGATTTAAGTGCTCGGCGTACTACGGCCAATCTATGCCCACTGCCGGATACCAAGTACTTTGCCGTGAGTGCACACGACAATATCAGTGCCCCCTTCCCGCTCCAGGTCTGCCTCAAGCACCAGGATGTGTTCACATACCATCAGCACAGGCCATCCTCACCAGCAGTGACCGCCAGCAGGACAGTGGACCACCTGGAGATCCCCTGCCTGGACCTCACTGCCGCATCTGTGTAAAGTCGGGCCCCTGTAACCTCCCATGCTGGTCCTACATGTGTGAACTTCGTGCGCTCCCACCGCCAGGTCCTATGCGGCCCGTGCTATTCCGTCGCAGAGCACAACAGTCACCACCCTGGGAATGTGATCTCCCTCTAAGCCTCAAAGTTCTGGTGTGTTGGCAGGACCCTGTGGGACCTCTCAAATGGAACCAGCACAACAAAATAGGCCCATGGAAGGACATTGGAGACTGCACTTACCCTACTCCTGATCTTGTGCCTTGTTCTACTGAATGCAGGAGCACTATGCCCTACAGGCTGAAGGCACACCTGAGCGTTCGCAGCCTGCCTCCTCTTGTGCAGAGACTGAAAATCTGCAGCTGGAGCAAATGGACTAGTCCACGTCTCAGTCCAGTCTGCCACTGTGACCGCAGAGCCTATCTACTGCGCCTGCTTCTTCGTCTGCACACACCCAGACCCCTAAGAGCCCGGTGCTATGTAGTTCGCCTTCCCGGTCGTCATCCTAAGTACCGAGCCAGGCGAAAACCCCGTCAGCTTGTGCACTTGCTGTCCCCATGCTCCGGGCACACGTGGTCACAGTATAGGAGATGGTTTTGGCCAGACCCCTTCTCCAATCGGGGTCTTACCTGCCCACGTATGCAACTGCGATGCCATCGACATTTGCATAGCAACGTTCCGATACAATCGAGCCATTTGGGTCCCAAGTCCCAAAGCTTCACCAACAGATGGCATCCTCGACAACCCTTTTCGCTTCCAATTCCGAGTTCGAGCTGCCAAAAAACAGGTGGAGCAGAACCGAGGGTCGAGAGTCGTAGCCGAGGACTCTCAGGACCAGCATGTCAGTCTCTGTCTGCTGGGAAGCCTAGGCGTGAGAAGCAACACTTCTTATATTCTTGCATCCAAGAGGCGCTGGCGGACACACGTGTCCCAGCCCAGAGTCACCACAGTCATTGTTTCACCGGCACAGGGCATCCGCTGCAGCAGCCCCTCTCGAGCACTGTCAAGCAGCCCCTAGTCTGCCCAAAGCCATCGCGTCGTCCGAATCGATCTACATACCCTCTGGCAGGCCCGATCACCCGCCTCCTGCCATGCCTCTGGTTGTGTAGCTGTCCCACAGGTGTCATCACTTGCCCGACCGTCCTGCCTGGAGCCCAGACGACAGATAGTGTGTCTGCCCAGCTCGGGCAATACAGCTTGGCCAGGAAACGCTCCTATAAACGAGCCATCCGTCGAGCAGCGGCCTCCAGCTCTGGAGGCACCCGCTACCGTGGACGCTGGCAAACATTGCATCAGCTTCACTCCCAGCATCACTCTCAGGCCCAGCCTGCCACCACCACCGCGCATCGAGCTAAGGCCGACACTACCCCGAAGGGGCCCCATGTTCGATTCCTTAGTCTCAACTGCGGTGGCCTGTCTAGCGAGGTCTACCAAGAACTGCTCCTATCTCTGGCCGCACTCGCCCCAGACAGGCGACCACATGTCGTCGCAGTCCAAGAGACTCACTGGGCCGAAACGAGTAATTCTGACTATGTTACAGGCCCGTGGAGAGTTCTCAGCTCGCACCGAAACGGCTACCAAGCCGCTGGAGTGCTGCTCCTCGTCCATAAGGCATTCTCTGCAGACTGTGTCATTTCCACGGCGGAGCCCTACCCAGGCCGTCTCCTTCATGTTCGCCTGACACACATGGCCTGGGCCCTGGACATCTTGGTCGTTTATCAACGTCCAATGAGCTGGCAAAGCTCTCCAACCAAAACCTCCGACGAGGCGCCGGTTTCCCAGAGCCCACCGCCACAAACAGCCGCCCAGGTCCGTCATGCTGTTTGGGACAAGCTTGATCACACCCTTAAAACCCTCCCCACAAGACACACATTGCTGCTCCTAGGAGATTTTAACACGCCACTTGCTGCCCATCCGCGTGCAGGTCGCATTGTTACCAAATGGACCGGCCGCCTCCCTGCCGATGCCCCCAGACTTGCCCGCCTCCTTGATGACCACGACCTCCTGCACCTCAACTCCTGGTCCCGGCGCGCGGGACACACCTATGTCTGCGGTGACCAGCGAAGTCTTATCGATCATGTGCTGACTCGCTCTACGCAGGCCCACCCCCTGGCACGGCAGACGGGCCGGGACCCTATGACCATAGCAGCATGGAGAGCCGGTGGCAGGCATGTACCACTTAGTGGCATCCTCCCTTTAACCCGGTTTGCATCCCTAAACAAGGCCCCGACAGTGCGTCCACGCTCCTGGAACAAAGAGGACCTCATGCAGCTCCTCTCGGAACCGCAGTGTCCCCAAGCAATCCAGCTGCGACGAACGGTGCACCACGACATCCAAAACTGTCGGTCTGTTCAGGAAATCAATGACTGCCTCACCTCTGCCCTGCAGCTGCACTTGCCACCACGCGCTGGTAGCACGAGGCTAGCCCCTTGGCAGTCACCGGCTATGCAAGGAGGCATCCGTGCCATGTGGACCCACTATCGACAGTGGCGTCAGGCGGCCAGCCGCCAAACCTCCACGATTTGGAGGGCCTGGTTTCACTACGCCAAATTCCAGAAGGCCCACAGGGACTTTCGTCGTGCTGGCCGGCTTGCCAAACATGCCTGGTACTCTGACAGGCTTCACGAGCTCGGCATGCATGCCCGTCGACATAATATCCGTGCGCTCTACCAGGGAGTCCGGCAGCTAGCACCCAAGAAACGGTATACTCAGGCACAGCTTCGAGCCCCGGATGGAGGACTCATCTCTCCGGAGAAGCAGGCCCACCTGCTCTCTGCCCATCTGCGCAGTAGCTACACTGGCCAATTCTGCCAGCCCGAACGAGCTGAAACTATGCCCAGTCTCAACATGGACACTGCTGCGCTGTCCAGTGCGTTGGCAGGCCTCTCAGTGCATAAGGCTGTTCCGGAGCATCTGGCACCCATAGCTGCCTGGCGTCTCTGCTCGGAGGAGGTGATGCCGAAACTATCTGAGCTCGTCAATGACCTTACGACCATTGATGAGCTATGGCATGCGGCCTGGCTCGCGCTCATTCCCAAAGTCACGAGACCAACCCTTCCGAAGCACCTCAGGCCCATAGGGGTCACGGAAGTCTCAGGTCGCATTGTCTCCAAGATCCTCCAAAATCGACTAAGGCCTTTCGTTCTTGAATATTTGAAGGATCTACCTCAATTCGCTTATGTTCCGGGCCGAGGTACTCTCGACTCGGTTCTTCGCGTGCAGGCACACTGTCAGGCTGTGATTGATTCATGCATGTCCGCGGACTGGACAACTCGCGAGGCTAGAGCTGGAATACCAAAGCCACAGGCCACCGCTGGAGGCCTGCAGCTATCACTTGACCTCAGCTCAGCCTTCGACCACATGGAATGGATACACATAGCCACTGCACTTGATGACGCATCTGTACCCCTTGAACTCCAAGCCCACGTTTTGGAATGGTATCGAGATATCAAGTATGTCCTTACGGTGCAAGGCCAGACTGTCGATATCTCTGCTAGTCGAGGCCTGAAACAAGGTTGTCTTATTGCTCCACTCATATGGTCTCTTGTCACCGGTCGCTTCCTCTATGAGCTTGCTCTCTGTGCAGATCCTCTGTGGGTGACAACCGATGTTACAACATACGCTGATGACTTCCACGCCGGGAGCCAGATCAGTTCATATGCCGAGCTCTGTCGTCTTGAAGTACGCCTAGGTCAGCTTCTTGATATCCTCTGCGTTGCCGGCCTCACGGTGAATGCTCAAAAATCAGCGGTCCTCTTCCTCTTCCGGGGCACCTTTGCCTCCAAATGGCTTAAGCAGCACCTGCGAACCACACCTGACGGGCAAGTCATGCGTCTACGTACCCCGACAGGCCGGCTGTTTGAGTTTCCAGTTGTGGAGGTTCACACTTATTTAGGGGTCCGGATAAGCTATAAGAACCCACGACTTGCCACCCTGCAGCATCGTGTTCAGCTTGTACAAGCCGAATGGTCCAGACTTCGGAAAGTGGTGTGCTCCAAACGAGGCCTCTTCCTTAAGGACCGAATTAACATTTGGCGAGCAAGCATACCACCCATGCTCACCTACGGACTGGCTGCCACGGGTCTACCAGCAGGTGGTCTCAGCCAACTTCGCACTCTGTATCTTCGACAGCTCCGTGCCATCCTCAGATCCCCGGCGCATCTCCATCGTGTCAGCAACGAGGAAATCCTTCGTAAGGCCGGTGTGCCTGATATCGCTGAGATTGTTGAGAGAGACCTGGCACGCTTGCAGGCCAATCTTCAGCAACTGCAGGTGGAAGATTCCTCTCTCCTTGCACCCCAAGTGCTGCGCTTTGCTGAAGGCCTTCAGCTCTCACTAACTTCGCAACCGCCCCCGCGCGACCACGCGCCAGGTACAAGAGAGTGTGAACCAGAGGCCATTCTGGAATGCCGCTACTGTGGAGAGACCTTCTCCACCTACCACCTTCGGAGAGCTCATGAGGCCAGGAAACACCAGGCCCGCACACCCAAGCAGGCAGTGCACACGTTTGACCGCTTCAAGCACAGCATAGACGGAATGCCTACATGTAGTCTGTGCAAATACCCGTTCAGGAAGTGGAGCAACCTCCGAAACCACATTGCCAAAGGCCAGTGTCCCTTCCTCTGCTCCCACCAAATAGGGACCGATACCACCGGACCTCAACTGGACTCAACCACTCGGAGTGGTACGGACCTCGGCTCTGGACCGGTAACCCATCCACCCCCACCTGATAATGCTGCTACCGTTCCCGAGACCCCCGTGCTGCCCCTGATCCTTAGGCCGCACATCGTGACCATCCTGCGCACGCAGCACTGGCATGCTTTACTTCAACTACCCGAGTTGCAGCTTGAGCTCACTCACCACTGCCCCTTGTGTCGACAATGGTGTGTGGATACCGCAGCAGTGAAGCGCCACATGACAATCCAACATGCGGAGTGGACCGAGAAGTTTCCCAAGGTTGTTGAGCTCCTTAAACCCTTCCGTCGCACCATAGTCTTCCCATGTAGATACTGTAAACAGTCGCAGGTTAACCGGCACACACACTGGCGATCCTGCATTGTTCTTCAAGTTAGCTGCTTTCTACAGCTAACTCACAGCAGTAGACATGGAGGAGGCCCTGGAGATGACCGCACAGGAGAGACTCTTCTTCGGGGGAGTCTGTCCATCGCTCCAGTCCAAGAGGGAACGGGAGGAAGGCCCCTCGGAGAAACGACCACGGACTGCAGACGCTCTGGCCTCCTTTCAGTCGTCGGCGGCTGCGCAAATGCCACAGGCACCGAAGGGCAAAGGGAAAGGCAAGAACAAGGGCAAAGCAGCTGCAAAGGGTCAATGGGGAGGCTGGAATCGACAGTCAACCACCTGGGGCCAGGACCACTGGCCCGCGGGACAGGGAGCGTGGAGCACACCATGGACTTCGGAGTACGGTCTGCCGGACATGGTCCAAAAGCTCACATCCTTGGCGATCAAACACGAATATGCCATCAACAGCATGATGCAGGACCACACGTTATACCTATTCGTGAAGCCAGGGGACGAGGGGCTGCTTCCGATTCTGTTTGCCACATCGGAGAAATGGAATGCTACCCAGCAGACGGATCCGTCCCAGATCACGGAACCGCTGCGCCTGGTCATGATGAAGGCGTTCCTTATCGAGCTGGGGCAAAGGTTGAAGGCCACGAAAGATCAACCGGAATCCATGCAGAAAGCCAAGGAACTGGGCTGGCTGACGGAACAAGGCCAGTGGAAGACTCTGGTCTGGGACCCGACGGCACAGGATCTCCGCGAGAAACAGGGAGGAAAGCTACACGTGACGGACGACTTGATCGGCCAATCAGTGGAGCTTCGCAAACTCATCACGGACGAGACTCTGTTTCGGTTTCAGTCACTTCGGGGACTAAGCCGGGCTCCGCAGACGGCATGGGTCCAGCTAGCGATCGAAATCAGTGTCCGGGATATGGGGAAGGATGCCGTCTTCGCAGGGAACGCGGAGGCCTGTCCCAACAGGCCAGAACACTTCGCGGGTGGTGACGAGGCCTGGACGTGCTTCGCTTGCACATAATTCCCATAATCCCTCTAATGCCGCCGCCCCGACCCCACCCTACAACCTGTCCAGCTGGCATGTTCGTGATGCTATTCCAGGCCTGCTTCAGATCCTACAATGCCTCCTGTGGCCGCTCTGGTGCGACTCTACCAGGTCTCAGCAAGTGCATGGGTTGCTTAAGCACCTTTGGCATCGCATCCGCACCACGCCTGACACACCGATCTCCCTAAAAGGTGACCTCCTTTGGTCTGCTGTTGCTGGGGGAATACCATCCACGGTCCAGGCCCCATACTTGCGTGCACAACTCCAATACCTGCTACAACACCTTGCCCCTGGTGATACGCCAGGTCCGTGGGAATGGTGTACAACAGGGGACGCTGCTACACCTGCTTCCGAGCAGGCCGACTTGACGATTCCCATGCCAATAAATCTGCCATTGCAGCCTGCTCCTACCGCAGGTGGCCTATGGGGATGGGGTGACTCTGCCTTCAGGCCAAGACTTCGCACTGCACCATCCACCTTGTATATGTACGTGCATGATCATTCTACAGGCCGTACACTGGCCGCTGGACCACATATTTCATGCACGTGGCTGGCTGCTGCTGAGGAGGCCTATCAGCTCACCATCGAGCCTGATGCCAGACCTCCTTACCCATGCCTGTATGAGGTACGATCCATCGTCTTGCATCGGACTTCCGGGGACCCTCACAGCTACCACGCAGTGCATCGAAAACTGTGCGAAGATGTGCTGACACCCTTTGCACCAGCACTGACTGCTGCTGACCTGTGTGATATGCAGCCATGCATCTTCGTACTGCGACGACGCTCTAGCCAGGTACCCTCTGGCTGATTGACTGTGGCGACTCCTTTAGTTAACGTTTTCCAGCATGTGCAATCGACACTTGCTGTAGTTGCATCTGGCAGTTGCTGCGGCTCATGAGCACAGCATCGAGCTCCTTGAGAGCTCCGGCATAAGACCGTGCTTCTCGCTAGGTGGACTTGATCCGCTGCGTGGGGAATGAATACTGCTACTGCTACTGCTACTGCTACTGCTACTGCTACTATAATACTACTACTACTACTACTACTACTACTACTACTACTACTACTACTACTACTACTACTACTACTACTACTCCTACTACTACTACGACTACGACTACGACTACGACTACGACTACGACTACGCCTACTACTACTACCACTACTACTACCACTACTACTACCACTACTACTACTACTACTACTACTACTACTACTACTACTACTACTACTACTACTACTACTACTACTACTACTAATACTACTACTACTACTCCTGCTCCTGCTCCTGCTACTACTGCTACTACTACTACTACTACTACTACTACTACTGCTACTACTGCTACTACGCAATAACAATACTTGCAAGAGCCAAATCCTCGAACTACCATTCAACAGAAAATCTATCTGTCAAAAGAGCTATAATTCTAACAAAACAATAATATGCATCAACATCGCCGCCTTCATCATCATCATCATCATCATCATCATCATCATCATCATCATCATCATACTTCTTCCTCCGGCGGTATTGGGTCCAGCAGGGAAGGTACCGCTCATGCTAATACTACATACCCGTGAACCCTAAACCCCAAATTCTACACCATGAACCCCACATCCTAAAACCTAAACTCCAAATTCCAAACCCTAAACCCCAAACCCTAAACCCTACCAACTACCAAAGGCTATTCTCCTCCATCTCCCCCAATACTACATAATGCTGCTATCCTCCATCTCTGCCGGGTCTGGGCCGGACGCGACCGGCGTCGCGGCGGGCGCCGGTGGCGGGGCCTCGGCTTCGGCCTTGGCCGCTGCTTGGGCCTTGCCGGTGCAAACCCAGGGTTTAGGGTTGGGTGAGGGTGTTTAGGGGCCTGGAAGGGCTTAAGACCGTAGCATTTAGAGCTTCAGGGATTTACCGGGCCTAGGCGGCTTCGGGTTTAGAGTTTCAGGAGTTTAAGGGTCTAGGGCCTCGTCACTGGGGGCCGAAGAGGCCGCAGGCATGGGCTCATCGGCGTCCGGCTTCGTCTCAACCTCCAGCCGGCTCTTGGATGTTTTTGGGGACTTCCGGTTTCGGGTGAGGGTTGCAGGGTCTAGGTCTAGGTTTTGGGGTGGGTTGCCTGGGTTGAGACTGTAGGGCTTGGGGTGGAGCCTGGAAGTCTCAGACTACAACTGGCAGCAAGTGTCAACCAAACGGTATGGTTGTCGTCAAGGTTCGACCGGGAAGTCGCTCGTGCTATCTAAGCCTTATTGTTCCTATTTTCAAGTTCAAAGCCTGAACCCGCAATTCAACCCCAAAGCCTTCGCAGCGTCTTTGTACCACTACTTATACTAGCCCGTACAGAACACAGCAACCCCCAATGTCACTACCCCTTACAGTCTCTCTCCGCCTCCATCGGCTGGGGTGCGGCATCTCCGGGCACTGCCGCTTCCGCTGGCGCTGCGGGTGGCGCCTCCGCTGGCGCCACCGGCGCTGCCACTGCCTGGCTCAAGATGCGAATAGAGATAGATACTTTGAAAAAAGATACTCAGATAGCTGGAGAGATAGATAGAGGTAGAGAGACAGATAGTAGGCAGATAGATATATAGATCGCCGGAATAGAACGGTTTCAGGTTCCAGATCTTTGAGTTCCGCGGTCACCGCTTTAGGGTTTACGGTTTTGAGGGTTTTTGTCTGGGGTTTGAGGATTGGGGTCAGGAGTTGAAGTTTCCAGCTTAGGGTCCGCGACACACCGGTACAACCGTCTATGCCCATGTGACTGTTTCTGTAGCTGCTGATCTTGCGGTGCTTAGTGCTCGGGATTCCGGCAACGCATCCATTAGGGTTTAGGGTTTAGGGGTTTAGGGTGTCGTAGACACACACAGCTCTAAACAGTCCAACAGAGAGTCATGGGCAAACCGAAAACCCTCCGCCCCAAAACAAGAAACTCCAAATCCAAATCCAGGGTGCCAAAACGACTGCTTTAAAGCCCTATGGGTAGTTCTAAGCTGCGGTCCCCAGTTTGAAGCACTCTTTTTGAAACCCCTTAGCATACAGTGGAAACCAAGGCCTCTGCTTCGGCGACTGTCGCTTTCACCTGTGGCGGCTCTTCGGATTTCGGGCTTCGTGCTAGAGGGTTGTGGGCTTTGGGTTTGAATGTTTGGGCCTCAGGCTTTTGGCGTTGATGGTTCGGGCTTGGCTTTGCGGCGCAACACGTCTTTTGCAGTTTTCGGTTTGGGGTCTATTATTCGTGGAAAGGGAACATGCATTGAAGGGCTTGTTCGAGACCGATAGCCCCAAAATCATCCCTAAAACCCCCAAGCCATAAACCTTCAACCCTTTAAAGGAAACCGAAGAGGACACTCTAATGGCAGCCTCAAAGAAACCTCTAGGGTCTCAGCTCGTAACGGTCCGAAGACTGCGTTCTGTCGCGCTGCCTCCCTGATCATGGCGACGGCCATGCGCAGCGTCTCCACCTTCAAAGTGACAAGAGCACTACGGGTCCAAAGAACGCAACAATTGGGTTTTCGAGTGTTCTTCTACGGCTTCAAAGAAGGCTTCTGTAAGGGGTGTATCGGGGAATCTAAGGGCTTAAGGGTCCAAAGAACCCAACAAGGAGGCTGTTGGGCTTAGAATAACAATTCTGACTGTTAGCTCCGTATGGACGACTACCTTGAGGACCTTCCGAACCTCAAAGAACCTGCGTGTCAACACTCTTGCTGGGATCATAGATCCAGGGACTGTGAAAGGTCCATTGTTTCTGAACAGGGCTTTCTAAAGAGGGATTGCAAAACCTGTTCACAAAAAAGTCTTTTTAAGGCCACTTGATCCCCATACGATATTTTCAAGAGGCAAGTCTTGGGGTCCAGCATTTTGCAATGCTCGACGGACTCACCAAGACAGCTGTTCCAACAAAGACCAAACACTGCTGCGTGCATATACATTGTGTGTATGTAACATAGAAACACGCACAGGTAACTTGGAATCAAAACAGCAACACCACAAACAGGCCGCCGAAATACCCACACACATGCGTGCATGCATTCCCTTCCCTTGCCTCCCCTTGCCTGTCTTCACTCATTCACTCAATGAATGCGTACATGTGCTTCTTGAACTCCTCTACACGATGTGCCTTCGACGAAGTTCTTGAGACCTCAACAGCATCCCAGCTCTTCTGTGACAGCTTTGCAAGGTTGAACAGTTTGTGTTTGCTTGTTTGATGATTTGTGTTTATGTTGTCGCCCCATTTATGCCAATGTTGGTCTACAGCTTATGTTCAAGGGCTTAGGGTTTAGGGTGTCTCTTCAAGGGTTTAGGGTCTAAGGATTTAGTGGTCGGCGTCTAGGACAAGCTTCTGACGAGCTTAGGCGCCGGGTCTTTGAACTTTCAGGCCGTTCAATGCCGTGCAATAGATGAAGAAATTCAAGTCTAGTTGCGAACCTACTACAAGTACAGGGCCCATAGTGGTCTGAAGAACTAGACTGGCTTCCGGCATAGCCCGACTTCTACTACAGTACATCCACCCCCCCCCCCCTAAACCCCAAAACCCTAAAGCCCCAAATCCTCAACCCTGTAAAACATTGAACACCTGGAATTCCATCTGCCTTCTCGAATTTAGCGATCTCGTCTCGCAAGGTTCGCACCTTCGCACGGGTTCATGTCTGAAAGGCTGGAAGGGCAAAGGGTTTAGTGCCTAGAGCTTAGGGCTCAGGGTTGATGGCTTAGGGGTTTAAGGTTTTTGTTTTCAGGGTTTAGGGTCTATACAGGGTATATAGGGCTTATAGGGTCTGGACTGATGAATTATTCATGGCCGCGCTTGTCTGTGAATTTACACTTACGGCTGGCCGTGAACCGGAATCCGCCTTGCACATCGATCACCTCATCCCCGAAGCTTTGCCTTCGCTGATCCTTCCATGAGGCCTAGGACCAAAGCCTCAAGCCACGAAACGACTGAGGTCCGCAAGCCCCCATATCTAGGACCCTCGAAACCGAAGCACAT